TATAAGAACTATGAGGACCCAGGAATACCTTGACGAACTAGAACAAGAGCTCTCAAATATTAAATGGGATATAATTGGACTGCGCAAAACTAGCTTACCAGGAGAAGCATGTACAATCTTAAAATCTGGTCAACAACTATACTAGAAAAACTCCGTATAAATCATCACATAGGCGGTGTAGCGTTCGTGATAAACAAACTAGCTCCCTATAAAGTAACGAAGTTCTGTGCAGTATCAAACCGAGTCATATATCTTGGCGTCGATTTAAACAGCAGATAGAGATTACAGATAATACATGAATATGCACCTATAGGAAACTCAACAGACGAGGGAGCTGAGTCATTTTGCGAGGATTTGACAGCAGCAAGGAACCAAGAAAAATCACTCTTCGTAATAATCACAGGAGATTTCAATGCAAAAATTGGAACAAAAAAAGAGGCGACACACAATATATCGGTCCATTTGGGCTGGACAATAGGAACGAAAGGGGTGAGATGTTGACAACTACTTAAACAACGAAAATTTATTTTGTCTTAACACTTTCTTTAAAAAATCTAAACAACGTAAATGGACATGGATTATCCCAGACAAGAAAACTAAGAACAAACTAGACTACATACTCTCCAATAAGAAAAACATATGCACCGACGTGACAATACTAAACAAATTGTATACCGGGAGTGACCATAAATTGGTTAGAGCGAATATTAAAATACAGACGAGAGTAGGACAAAACAAACTTATTAAACGAGAACGATACCCAACCACCGATGTTCTGTTTTAAAAACAAACGGAATGCCAAAAAGAGCTAAGCACAAGACTAAAATCAATAGAGATACTGAAACAAATGGACTTAAACGGACTAGCCAATAAAATAAAAGTAACTGTAACAACATCGGTTAAGAAAATATGCTCAAACACGAAAACAACCAAAACATCTAAACTCCAACCTACTACAATTAAACTACTCCAAGAAAGACGAAACAAAACAGATCGAACTTCAGGACAGCTTCTCAAAAGTTTAAACAAAACGCGAAGAAAGAAATTAAAAACGATCATAGAAACTATACTAACAATCTAATAAAAGACATAATACAAGATAACTGCAATATGAAAGTACTAAAAGCAAAAAACTCAAGCAGCATCACAAAAATCATAGAAATAAAAAATGAGAAAAACGTCACCTCCGAGACAGAAAGGAAATAAGCGAGGCCATTGAAAAATTATACACTAAATTATACTCAGTAAATCCTTCCTCCACGTCATTCCCCCTGGGGGCGAGGGGCATAAAATTGCAATATCTGCGACACGTTATGAGAAATCAGCACCGTTACTCCCTCAACCACAACAACGACGTACTAAACGAACAATAATTAGCACCGGCTTAGAAGAAATACCGGACATAACCGACTATGAAATAAGAATGGCCCTAAATCAACTAAAAACAAATAAATGTCCGGGAGAGGATAAAATTACAGTTGAAATGTTGAAAATTTGTGGCAGAAAAATGGAATGGATTTTATTTAATAAAGTAATTGATGAAGAAAAGATTCCTCGAGAATGGTAACTCAAGTCATTCTACTAGTTAAGAAAGGAGACAAAACAAACATCGAGAATTACCGACCAATATTCTTGCTATAATTTCTGTATAAATTACTAACTAAAATCATAACCAACCGCCTAACACATAAGCTCGATTTCTATCAACCTATCGAGCAGGCTATATCCAGAAAACATTTTAGTACTATAGACCACTTGCACACCGTAAGAACACTAATAAAAAAATGCACCGAGTATAATGTTCCAATTCATATGGCGTTCGCCGATTTCCATAAAGTATTCGATTCCATCGAATTATGGGCAGTGCTTGAATCTCTAGAAAATGCACGTATAGATTCAAGATACACTAACATAATTAAAAACATATATGAAAATGCCACCATGCAGATAAAGCTGGACGAAAGCACAAAAACTAATCCCATAAGACTACAACGGGGAGTAAGACAAGGAGACACCATCTCTCCCAAACTATTTACCCTTGCTCTAGAAGACATTTTTAAGAAACTAGAATGGAACAACAAGGGTATCAACGTCGATGGATCATACTTAAACCACTTGAGATTCGCAGAAGACATAGTTTTAATAGCCCATAATATCCAAGAACTAAATGATATGTTACAACAATTAAATGCAGTTTCAGGAGCGGTAGGCTTAAAAATGAACTACAGTAAAATAAAAATATTGAGCCGAGACCGGACAAACATTTTTTTTTGAACCTAGTCTCTATCCTTCCATTGTTGGATATAGGTCTCCCCCAGGTCTCTCCATCTTTCCCTATCTTGAGCTGTTCTCTGCCATGTGGGACCTCCTTGTTTCCTGATGTCATCTTTCCACCTCATCTGTGGTCTGCCTCTTGATCTCTTTGCATTGTATGGACGCCACTTTCAGATGGCATTGTTCCATCGTCCGTCTTGGAGACGTTCATTGTGTCCAGTCCATTTCCATTTCAGTTTTGCTGCTTGTTGTATCGCGTCTACTGTCTTTGTTCTGGTTCTAATCCACTGGTACGTTTTCTATCTCTAAGTGATACACCCAACATTTGTATCTCCATCGCTCTTTGTGCCTTCCTTATCCTATCCAAATTGGCCTATGTAAATGTCCATGTCTGTGCTTTGTAGGTAAGCACCGGTATTATACATGAGTTATATACCTTGCTTCGTCAGTATAGAGGGATTGTTTGATTTTTTAGAACGTAAGAAATTTTGCCGAACGTTTGCCAGACAAATTTAACAATACAAAATCATACCATAGAAAATGTTGAACATTATCTAGGTCATGTTATTAAATTAGGAAAACCAAATCAAGATGCTGAAATTAAAAGAAGAACACAACTGCATGGGCTCTTTCGGCAAACTAATATTTACCTTGAAAAACACCTCCATTTTTGTAAACTTAAAAAAAAGGTGTATAACATATACATATTACCAGTTTGTACCTACGGCTTGGAGACAGTAGCCCTCACCTAAAAATCTGCTAAAAAATTTGAAACAACGCAAAGAGCAATGGAACGTATCGTTCTTGAAATATCACTGAGAGATAAGACTAGAAACACCGAGATAAGGGATAAAACGACGATTAGGAATATTGTGAAAAAAATTACAAAAATAAAATGGTACTGGGCAGGTCACGTAGCCCGATATAATGACAGTAGGTGAACACGGAGAATTTGAGAATGGAGACCAAGGACGACAGCAAGAAGCATGGGAAGACCTCAAAAAAGATGGGTAGATGACATAAGAGCAGTGGCAGGCAAACAGTGGATTAGATTGGCGCAAGATAGAGAAAGATGGAAGCAATTGGGAGAGACCTTCATTCAGGAGTGGATGGAAAATGGTTGACAAAGAGAGCTTATACTTGAAACTTTTTATGAATAGAAAAAGGTAATCGATATACTTTGATGTGACTATATTGTTTACTGTCGTTCTATAATATTAGCTACTAGAGATAGATTTTAACAAACAACTTCATTTATACGTTTTGACAAATTTGAAACCAGTCAAGAACGAAATAGAGTAGATGAACTGGCCCAATAAGAGATTAATGTATATATATATATATATATATATATATATATATATAATATATATATATATTATATATATATATATATATATAGTCCCAAGATTCCTAAGAGGAACATAGGGCTTCCACAAAGTGTCTCCAGCGAACTCTATTTCTGGCTAGTGCTTTGATTTCAAGCCAGGATTTTCCCATTGTTCTCCCTTCGTCCAGTACTGTCCTTCTCCAAGTTCCCTTAGGTCTGCCTACTTTCCGTCGGCCTTGGGGATTCCAATCCAGTGCTGTCCTGGCAATGTCATTTGGCGGTCTACGGAGTGTGTGGCCCAGCCATCTCCATTTTCTTCGCCTTATTTGCTTTATGACATTTTCTTGGTTGCTTTGGTTCCATAAATTTTCATTGGTGATTCGGTTAGGCCAAAATATACGAAGGATTTTTCGTAACGCTCTATTAATGAAAACTTGTAATTGGTGTACTATGGGTGCTGATATCTTCCACGTTTCGCAGCCATACAGTAATACAGCTTTTACATTTGTGTTGAAGATTTTTAGTTTCGTTTTAGTTGGGTAAATCCTGGATTTCCATATGTTGTTAAGCATGTTGTAGGCGTTGCGAGCCTTATTTATTCTTTCATGTACATCACGCTCTGTACCCCCATTACAGTCAATTATGCTGCCCAGATATACAAATTCCGCTACTCTCTCAATTTTCTGGTCGTTGATCATAATAGGTTGGTTGTTTCTGGTACCAAATCGCATTTCTTTGGTTTTGTTGGTGTTTATTTCTAGAAGAATCAAAGAAGGTTGGTCTAGAAATAAAGAGATTAATGTGATATTTTTATTTTGCTTAAGAAATTTAATTTATATTAAGAATATTTATATTAAGAAATCGCTTAATTTAGGCCACCATCTGTGTGTAGATGAGCTCGTGCCTTTTAGAGGTAAAGCATATAAACTTAAATTAAAAGCGAGATCTATTTCTAACAAAGATTTATTTTAGACTGCCTTATTATTCATTCTCTATCGGAAACGATAAATTCGTCACCAACAAAGAATGATTTTACATTTTTTACTTAAAAAGAGCCAAACTGATAAAACGTATTTTTACATTGTATTTACAGGTCCGCCGTGAGTATTTCTTTGTTACAGTCGGCCAAACCTGACACCTTCGCGCCCTCGAGAAGCCTCAGCGACGTTTACCTGTAACAGAAACAAAAACATAAATTAGTTACCATAATAAGCCTAAGCTTCTTGGTGTAAGTTGACTTCTTCCTCGGACGTTTCCGAGCTTACACCCGTTTTATAGAACTTTATCTTATCAGAGGGACATATTCCCTTGTATGACAGGCGCGTACGTTTCGCTCCTGGCATATCTTCTACGACTTATCGAGTACTTTCTTCTCATACATTCTACAAAACCTCACATCTCCATTTTTCTTCTTGACTAGTAGTATCGGGCTTGCGTATGGTGAATTAGATTCACGGATAATGTCATTATCTAAAAGTTCTTGTACTACGTCACGTACTTTTCCACGTTCTGAGTAGGAGAGTCGATAGGGTCTGTATGTTATAGGAACATCGTCGGCTAATTTTATGGTCATTTTCGTGGTGGTACTTTCACCTAGTTGCTCAATGCTGTTGGCAAAACATTCGGGATATTGATTAAGAATATCCAGTAATTGTTCCGTGTATTCAGCACTCAGAATTTCATTGACATTGACGTCTTCAAATGTCAATTTACGTATAATAGAAGTAGAAGTAGCTAAGCACTCTAAATATGGTAAATCTTGCACTTCATGGCAATTGAAACCTCTGGCCACCACGGCACCTTTCAAATACTCCACTGGTTTGTCTGAACCATTGAAAATTGGTAGAACAGAGTCTTCATCTAGATTCAGGATACAACGAGGAATGACATGAAATTGGGAAGGCCACGGTCTATGCTGCAAGTCAACAAAAATGTCGCCACTCTTTTGATCACTATGTAGTGTGATATGACCTAAATGATGGGGAGGTATAACCGTAGTTTCTTTAGCCCACAAAGTGACTTTACGGGAAGGTAGGGCTGCAACAGCCCTTAAATCCGCTTTGTGTTTGTTAAAAAGTCTGACTTGTTCGCCGTGTACTGTCATAATGACGTTTTCATTATTGATGAATGGCTGTCCAACTATAATAGGTATCTGTTGGGTCTCATCCGGGACAACCAAAGTCCTAACCCTAGCTAACGCTAAATCGACACGTAAATCAATACAAATCTCAAAGTTTGCAAAAACGCATCCACCACCGTAACCACGTAACATTATTTTTACAGGTTTAAGGTCCAAATTCAACATTTTGGCTTCACTATAACGTAAAGTAACAGCACTGCTACCAGAATCAACATAACCCCTAAATATATGGTCATTTACACCACAATCAATAAAGTAACATGTATTATACTTATCAGAATTGTTTTCATTCATGCACATTGATTTATTATTAGTGGAATTCATGCTATTTTTAATTACCGGTAAATATGGTTTGTACTCACTTTCAGTCGTCTTGGGATTACCTGACTTTAATTTAAAACAATTGGAGATGTCATGTCCTAGAAGATGGCAGTGCTTGCATTCCAGTTTTTCTCGGAAATATTTCCTTGCAACATATCCTCTGAAACAACTGGTATTTGACGCTTGACGAATAAGATCTTTTAGATCTACTTCTGGATCTACCCATGACTTATAAGTTATAGCTTCAACCGTATATTTAAACCGTATAATGTCTAAAGTTTAAACTTAAACCTTATATTTAAACTATAAATTAGTTAATTCAAAACTTCTTTTTAAATTAACAAATAAATAAATATCTATCTAAACCGTATATTAATGTTTAAAGTTAAAGCTTAAACCTTGTATTTAAACAAAGCAAAAAAAAACACTTATAACTTATAGTCTCCAAATTTTCAGGTCCAACCTTGTATTGAAACCAGAAACTGATTAATTTAAACCGTATATTTAAATTAAAAAAAAAACTTACTGCGTCGTGATTGTCCAAAATACGCACCAGCTAAAGAAGTCTAGACCGTGTATCTAAACAGCACAATGTGTATAATGTATAGCTCTCTAAAGTTATAGCCTTAAACCTTTTATTTAAGCTATAATTTAGTTAATTTAAAACTTATTTTTAAATTAACAGATAAATAAATAACATATATATTTTTTATAGTTTAAACCTTATATTTAAACTAAACAAAGAACACTTTCTTATCACTTAAATTTCTGTACACTCTCCAGTATTTTTTTTAACGGAAAACTTATTAATTAGTCACCCAGACAAAAAAAAATTATCTGCATAGATTATAACGTTCGAACTGCACCGGAAAAAATAACAATAACATAAACGGCCAATGCGATATGTAAGGCACAATGAATTATTTACCCACACCTGAACTATAAACTTAAATTAAAAGCGAGATCTATTTCTAACAAAGATTTATTTTAGACTGCCTTATTATTCATTCTCCATCGGAAACGATAAATTCGTCACCAACAAAGAATGATTTCACATTTTTTACTTAAAAAGAGCCAAACTGATAAAACGTATTTTTACATTGTATTTACAGGTCCGTCGTGAGTATTTCTTTGTTACAAGCACTATTCTGAGTTTATATGAAGAGCAAACCTGACCAGTACGAATTAAAGATATGGGCCCGTGTGAACTGCACTACTTTTTATATAGCAAACATGCAAATTTATTTGGGTAAATTTTTAAATTGCCAAGAAGAAAACAAGCAAATTCTTAAATCTATTCATTTTTAGGAAAACAAGGTCCTAAGGTGGAAAAAGCTCAAACCAAAGAGCTGTTCTTGACTTGATAAACCATTTGGAAGGATAGTTTGGAATAACAATTTACAATTTTTTTACGAGTTACATTACAACAAAACGAAAGGAGCCGTCAATACAACCGATAAGTTAGCTAAAATATATATACGGTACAAAAAATGATAAACCGTTGGCCGATGGCTATATTCTGTCATCTGTCGTGTCCGTCCAGCCCTACTTCTTTTAGCACCTCAATCAATTTTTCGTGTCTAATGCGGTCGAAGGCCTTTCTATAATCGACAAAGCACACATACAGCTGTTTTTGAACCTCGAGATACCTTTCTGCCATTAGTGTCAATCCCATTATTGCTTCTCTGGTGCCTGTACCTTTCCTAAAACCATATTGAGAACGACTCAGGTATTCTTTCACACTTATTGTGAATGCGGTTATAAATTACTCGCATAAAAATCTTAGCAGCATGACTCATTAGGGATACAGTTCGATGGTCTTCACATTTCCTTGCTTTTTGTTTTTTAGGAAGAGCTACATATGTGGATGTTAGCCAGTCATGCGGTAGAGTGCCATGTTCATATATAATGTTAAAGAGGTAGGTTAATTTCCCGACAGCATCATCACTCAGGTGTTTAAAATGTTCGGCTGTTGTTAGATCTTCGCCGGGTGCCTTGTTGTTCTTTGCGTCTTTTATTGCCCGCATAACTTCTTCGGTTAGAATACTTAGTTTTCCATCGGTATCTATTTGTGGGGGCCCTTCTGCTCTCCGATCACCAAACAAATCTTTAAGATATTGTTCCCATATTTCCTTCTGTTTTTCAGGGTCTAATTCCATTTGGTTTTTCGTGTTTGTTACAATAGATAAATGTTTGGGTTTCCATATCCCAGCGACTTCTTTCACCTTTCTGTGTAATTCTCTATCTTTATGCTTCCTTTGCAGATCTTCTACCTCTTTACATTTTTCTTTCATCCACTCTTCCTTAGCTACATTTATCTTTCTCTCAATTTCCCTGTTAAGCTCTTTGTATCTTGTTAGGTTTTTGTTTTTTACCATCCGTCTCCTCTCCATAATTTGTAATATTTCGTTTGTCATCCATGGTTTTCTTTGTTTACGGTTTTCTTTCTGTATATTTTGGTTTGCTGCCTCCAGGACAGTATTTTTAATTTTTCCCCACATGTCTTCAATGTTTTCTTTTATTGTCTTCTCTTTAGTGGGAGCTAATGTCTTAGACTCTAACTGCGTGTCTACCATGTCTTTATACATATGTTTTTGTCCCTGGTCAGCACTACTCCATGCTACTCTCTGACTGGGTTTAGCCTTGCCTACTCTTTTAAGTTTTATTCTGACAGTTGCAACTACAGGATTGTGGTCTGAATTTATGTCACAGCTTGGGTACGTTTTTACATTTAGAATACCATTACGGAACCTTTTATTAATTGTAATGTAGTCGATTTGGTTCCTCACAATATTTCCTTCGCAATCTTGAGGAGACCTCCACGTATACAGACGTCTTTTTGGTAATTTAAACCATGTGTTAAGAACCACCAAGTTGTTCTCTTGGCAAAATTCAACAAAGCGTGTGCCTCGTTCATTCCTCGTTCCTAAACCGTATGGGCCGATGATCGATTCGACCTTTTCTGCTCCTACCTTCGCATTCCAATCTCCCATAAATATGTTGATGTCATCTGATTTTATGTGTTTTTTAATCTTTTCAATATCGGAGTAGAAAATCTCAAGATCTGCATCTGTGCTGTCTGCTGTCGGGGCGTATACCTGTATTATATTAATGTCGAATGGTTGTCCATTTAATTTGATGATCATTACTCTGTCGCTGACTGGTAGAAAACCCTTCGTGTGTTGTTTCATGGATGCTGTTACCAGCACTCCTATACCTGATTGGGCATCATCATCTTTGCCTGCATAATAGAATCGGTTTCCATTTATTGTATCCACATATCCTTCTCCTTTCCATCTCACCTCACACATACCAAGTATGTCCCACTTCATTCGTCTCATCTCGTTTTCAGCGTTTGCTAATTTGCCTGCTCTATACAATGTCTTAACATTCCACGTAGCAATTTTAAGTTTCCTCCCGGGGATTCTTAGCACCCCTTGACGATTGAACGCCTGCCGGGCACTAGGGGCCATGTATTGATTTTGACTTGCCATATTAACTATCTTGGGAATTTGATGCGATGGTTTCCCACTTGCCTTTCGCATCCTATGCCGTTGACGACGCGATATCGTTCATCCGCCTTCGGGGACGATTTCTCCTCCCCAGGACAAGAGGGTGCCCTTGCGTTATTATTAAGAATAACGTTGAATGCTTATACCAGCAAACACTCGGTCCCCATCTGCGTCAGCCACCTAAGCTAACTACTTAAGTGTTGCCCATCTTCTACCACGTGGAGGTGCAGATTGGGAGTTTCCCTTCATTGAGCTCAAGACCGTAAAGGCATTTCTTGATACTCTCCAGTACTTTAAGAAGATAAGTGTAATAACAATAAGCACATCGAAAAAAATAAAAAGCGTCATATGGCAGATATATTCCTAGCTTTGAATATTACTTTTTTCCCAGAACTTTTGAATATTACTGAGCGCAGAGTGGAACAAACAAAAATTACAAGGGGGCGGTTCTATGTGTGTTGTAGAGGAAAATACAGAAAAAGTAGTAAAATATGTGTAAAATTTTGTATGTCTAGAACACGCAAAATCAGAGATAGTTTGTGTACATTTTACAAATAGTATGTAGTTATTATTTAGTCTATTAGCACCAGCAATATATTTTATAGTAATGTGTGACTAGTAGTTTTTTTTTTCGTATAAGCATAGTTCACCTATTTAAAAATGGGGTCCGTTCAGACCACTGTCTTTTGTGTTATATTTTGAGGCCCCTCCGATGAAGGTTAAGCATAAAGTGTTTTTAACAAACTTTAAAGTGACGTCTATTTACTTTTTTTGTTTAAAATTGAGAAAATATAATGATATATTGGAAGAAAAATACTGTATATAACTGTAATATGTAACTGTAACTAAATATGTAATGACTTATAATATGTATATAATTTGAAATTAAAAAATTCAAATGTATATAAAAATTGTTAAATACTTGAAGTAATGAACTTTTTTTGTTGCAGCGTTGTCAGCTAGTAATAACGGATTGAAGTGGGTCAGAGTAAACGTCCCTCAATACCGAGTACCAGGAGAAACAGCCATGTTACAGTGTGACTTTGACCTGGGTAACGACACCCTATATGCTGTTAAATGGTACAAGGAACATGAAGAGTTTTATAGATTTGTGCCGAAAGCAAGACCACA